GTGGCTTCTTCATTGGTTGCCTTTACGACCACATCACAGTCCTACCATTCAAAGAGAAAGTATGTTTTAAACGAGGAGGTAGTTTAGTTGTATAGAAGCGTAACTTTTGGGAGACAGACTCGGAACAACAGATAATGTTGAAAAGTTTGGGTTTTATTTTTCCTTTTCATCTTTTGACTTCTCAGACACGTCCTGGAGCTCCGTGGGGAGTCGTCAGCCCCGGGCTGGGAACCACATGAAAGGCACGAGTGAACTACTATCTAGTGGAATATAGTGAATATCTATTACAGATTCAGAGATTAATGACTTTAAATGTGGCCTCTGAATGCTTGATATGATAGTAAACCTTCCTGATGAGGTTTATTTTGTAAATTATTCCAAACCAAGTGTACAAACTGATGGTTTGGTGCATTAGCATGGTAGCTGGAAGGAAGCTCAAAAAGAAAAGACGCATTCATATCCATGAGGCCGTCTCTGTATATCCTGTTAGCATACATACATTAGCACACGGCATGTGATTCACTATTTAAAGTAACTTTCAAGCAAATGCAGCTTAATGCCAACTTCAAAAGAGTGCCTATATAACTTAAAACAGTTAAAAAAGTGAACTGAACACTGTTTTCAAAATGAACAAAGAACAACTAAACTGTCTGACTCACTGCATTATTCAACCATTTCTTTTAACATCAAAAAAAAAAAAAGAGAAAACACGTGGATGTCTTTCTGTTTATCTCCGGCTCTATGATGCTTTCATCGTACAACAATGCTGCGAAGCAACTGATGCATTCATGGTACACTGTGTGTAGCGACAGACCTGAAATCAAGCACAGCAAAGCTTTAATTCAGCACTCAGCGCTATCTAATCTCTGTGAAGCAGCTCAAACAGTTCGGTCTCCCAGAGCCGGAGAAACACTCAGCACTCTCGGTGTTTCCTTCAACAGTAAAGAGATGGCTCTAAGTGCTCCACATGGAGGGAGGGATCAATACCTAAGTACAGCACAGCAGTAGCCCTGACAGCCTGTAATGGAGCAGCGAGGAAAATCAAAACATCAGCTGCGAGGGCTCCCGGCATGTCAACTTGACATGCATTTCTGTCATTTTGCAAATTTTGACAAATGACACATTTTTGTGGTCACGTTACTCCGGATCGTTCCCCAGCGCTCTGGAACAGCTGCCACAGTGGCAAAAGTCTGAGCTGTAATAAAAAAATAAAATAGTCCACATGTAGAAGAATGCAGATGGCTTATAAATGGCTTGTTTTCAATACGCCGTGTCCTCAGCAGTGTTGTGGCCCGTGAGCAAGTAAACCATCAGATAGGAATTTAAAAGGCATCAAAGAGAAACAGTGGGTTCTTTCTAAGAGAAACTTGCCTGAGTGATGGAACCACAGACTGTATAAAAGATGGACGTAGCTACCGTGACGTCACCCGTTGGTTTCTGCACTGAGAAAATGAAGCCAGGGTTTTGCTACTTCCTGGTTGACATCTTGGATTTTTGGAGCCAGTGACGCAAAAATTGTCGGAGGGGGGCGGAGCCATAGGAGCAGCGATTGGTCAGAAGGATTGAGAGGTGGGCCCTCTCTGCCCGCCCACATTTACCGCCTTCTGCTCGCTTCGTCTGCATCGTCGCTGCCGACTGTCAATCAAGCCAGCCACGCCCCTTGCCCCACAAAATGTTGACGATTTTTTAAAAATTCAGTATTGATTTATTTTCAGATTGGCCACCTGATCTCTGGATTTGACCATGAAAACTAATTTTTAAAAAAAATCCTGAGCTGTAGGAATGCAGTATTTTGTGATCTGTGATCACTTCTTTTCCAATTCCAGTCTATGGGAGCCAGGGCTTTTTGGAGCCAGCAGCTAGTGGACGTAGTGATATTACAGGTTTTTGTCACTTCCAGGTTGGCTTCATTTTTCAGGGTCAGTTGCTACGTCCATCTTTTATACAGTCCATGGATGGAACTGAAACAAAATGTTAGACTTTCAAATCAAGGAGCCAAAAAAAGAAGAAATGTAGACACAATCTTAATCCAAATGTTACTCTTTCAGTTTAGAACAAAGCATCGAATGTCACAAATAGAAAAAAAAACACAAAACAGATTATAATTCCTCCTTTGATAATTGGGACTTTTGTTATCTTTTTAATTATTTATTCTGTTTACAGTATAATTATTAGTGTCAGTATCTCGACTAGAAAATATAGTTTTTAGCTCTGCTAGTAGTTACTCAGTCAGTTTATAACTTGGATCACAGAAACAATTAAATTCAGAACAGACATTCTTGGTCCTGTGAGGCTGAACCCTGATGTCTGCAGATGACTGATAATATGTTTGAGCATCACACTTTAGGGCTGGTCCGAATAGCAACATCTGTTCTCTGGATATTTGGAGATATCCCAGTTCCAGCACAGTGAACAAATATTTGGCTAGTTGGCTATTTTAGTCCAGTCCCTATTGGAATTATGTTGATGTTTGTGATTTTAAGTCAACAAATATATGCATCCCAGAGGCTTTTACTAGGAAGCCAGTTCCTCATACTCAGGATTTCATTATCTGGCTTCACTAGACTTAACAACCACGACCGCAGTCACAGTAAACACAAAGCTGGTTATAAACTTCAGAAGTTAAACAGGGTTTCTGAACTTGGCTATGAGCAGTTTGAGGGGCGGTGTTGGCTGATAAAATGCACAAAACAACAAAAAAAACCTTGCAAATGTGTTTTAATAGTCTTTAATGTTAACAAATTCAAAAACGTATGAGATTCATAGATAGATAGATAGATAGATAGATAGATAGATAGATAGATAGATAGATAGATAGCTACTTTATTCATCCCCTTCCAAAATTCAAGAAATCTTCAGGTTATTAAGTTCTGCCAATTGTCATAATTTTGTTATTTGCAGATAGACCAAAACCAAAACCAAAAAATCTAAAAAGGAAAGAAGACTGGAGTTCCCTTGATTAAGAAACTGCTTGTCCGTATTTAGAATCTGTGCTCGATGTGACCGCCATCGTAGCCCGGAAATCCCAGGGTGAGACCTGAAGTTACCTCACTAGGATGATTTTTTAATTCTGCGTCTGTGTGTTAGGGTTTAGGGCTAGTGTGGTGAAAACTCTTCTTTGTCTGTTTTCAATGTTTTTAAAATGTCAGAATGACACTATGATGCTGCACAGTTTCACACAGAATGGATGTCAGTCTGGACTGGAGGTGTCAAGATATAGGGGCTCTGTTCAAAAAGGATGGGTGGAAGGATGGTTGCATCCAGCGGTCTTACCATCTGTATGTCCTAATCAATCACTAGTTCAAAACCACAGATTATTTCATCCTAAAATAAGAAAAAAAAACACAGATTTTCCTACGTAAGGTCCTCAGATGTCAATGCCCTTCACTGTCAATGTGCTTCACGTGTTGTTTGACTGTACTGTACATTACTGAGTTTACAGTTTGGAGCTTTGTCATATGGCTTACCTTGTATCTCAGTCGAGTCCCACTGTCACTCAGTCGGCCTCTGTGGGAAGCTGATCTGTGGGAAAAGGGAAGAGAAACTGGAGAAGATGAAAGTCAGCAGGCTGAGAGAGAACAAGAAGAGGAAGGAGGAGAGATCCAAACCACCTCTTTGAGATAATTAAAGTTAGCTCAGGAAACCCAGTTTGTTTCTTAGAATAACTGTGCCCAAAAATTACCTCAAACATAAACCAAGAAAGTGGACGTTCAGGACACGAGTAAGAATTCTTCTCAACCAATCAGTCAGAGGGACATCCCACTTTCTGCCAATAAATAACGCTGCTTCAACATGCATTCATTTGTGCTGTTTGTTAGAACTTGGTGGAGGCATCTTCATGTACATACAGTTGTACTGAGAATATTCAGCAAGGTACGTACATATTTACAGGTTGTTTCTGTTTAGATGACTGGAAGTAAGCGCTTCTGCAGACTTTCATTTACTTTAACTACAGTTGTATTTACAGTACAGTTACTTCATTTAAAATGTTTATTGAAACCTACATATTTTATGCTTTTTTTCAAGCAAACTTCATTTTGTGCCAATTCTGTAAATGTTTTTTGCATTAGAATACTACTAGAAGAGGGTTAAGAGTTTTTTTGTTTTTTAATTTCACAACCTAATAGAGTTTTTCTTTTCTGAAAACCGAATTTCTCAGCCAAACAAACTGCCAGACCATCATCAGCATGGATACAATGGAAATTGATGATGACGCATACATAGACAGGAACCTCGTCAAACAAGGTACAGTATCACCCTAAGAACACAGACAGAATAATGAAAGTCCTACGTATGAGAAATAAAAGGTGTGAAATATGAGACCGGCCTGTGTATTAGCTTCAGTGTAATAATGATAATAATAATAATAATAACGGTAATGCCTTCAAATAGCTTTAGATAAGATGTTATGGTCTTGCTTCGATACATATTTCACCTCAATTTTATCAGCAGTGTGAATTGTGGGACCTTTAAACGGTGTCCAGTCCATCAGTTTGGACTCTCCTCAGATTCTGCACACATCTCGAGAAGCATTAAAGCAAAC